AACTCATGTTGGAGCATCTCGACCTTACCGTTGCCCGTGGATGCTCCCTCGACATTCGCCGTCAAGAACTCGCAGGTCATCCGGTAATTTTGGACGCAAAAAACCTGGTACCCGATGCAGTCGCATTTGCCATCGAGCAGGGGGCCGTCGAGAGAGCCGTGGAATTCCTTGAGCGAGGACGATCCATTCTTCTTGCGCAACTATCCCTCTATCGTGTTTCTTCAGGCTTGGAAACAGATCAACCTGATCTGGCTCGTAGGTTCGACGACCTAAGTTGGCAAGCGGAGTGCGCAACCTTCACTGAGGGTAAGGGGTTGGGGAACATGGCAATTAAGCTCCCATTCGAAGACCCGATTTCCAGGTACGCGGTGACGTTTGCTCTACTAGTCCTCTCCTCATACCCTCTGTTCTTTCAGGTCAGACCGCCTAAGGAGGGAATGGGAGAAGGTGGTGGAGGAGATCCGTACAGTCGATGGATTTGAGCGGTTCCTTCGACCGGCACAGTTTGCTGATCTGAGGAACGCCGCGGCCCAGGGACCTGTGGTTCTCATCAACATTAGTGGATCGCGCTCCGATGCGATCATTGTTACATCCCAACGTCCGCCAATCGTCGTCCCCTTACCCGCGGCGTCCCCAGAGCGTGTCACTTTCCTTGTTGACCTGTTCAAAAAGGTTGCGCTATCGAAACTCGGAAACGATATCCGCGACCCGCTGCTGTTACTCTGGGAGGAGATCGTAGAGCCCATCGTTTCGGCCTTGGAACAAATGCCGGATGTAGCTGAGCGCTCGCGGATATGGTGGTGCCTTAGCGGTGCCATCATGACACTTCCACTCCATGCCGCCGGCGATTACCGCAATGGCAGACGTCTTCCGGACCTTTACGTTTCTTCCTATATACCCACTTTGGCTGCACTCTCCCGCGTACGCCAGGCGCGAGCAAATAATAACTCTAGCCCACCGAGTTTTCTTCTCGTTGGCCAGTCGAACACACCCAACTTAGCACCTCTCCCTGCGGTGCCCGAAGAGATCGTTTGCATCAACAACCGGTTCACCAACGCGACAGTCCTTGAGGATGAACAAGGCACCAGCGGTGCAGTCCTCTCTGGAGTGAGGCAACACCGGTGGGTTCACCTCGCCTGCCATGGCAAAGTCCGCCCCAGCAACCCTCTTGAATCCCACTTCGCATTATACGACGGCCCCCTATCCCTTTTCGAACTCATGCAGAACCGATTACCCGACGCTCAACTCGCTTTCCTCTCCTGTTGCCACTCCGCCTCAGGGATTTCTAACACCCCAGACGAGTTCTTGCATCTTGCTGCGGGAATGCAGTTTGCGGGTTTCAAAAGTGTTGTCGGGACGATGTGGGCGATGAACGACGCTGTTGGGCCGAAGTTAGCGGACGAGTTCTATCGGGTGCTCTTGGGACGAGGCAAGGGCGACTATCGAAAGTCGGCGAAAGCGTTGAATGACGCACTAAAGTTACTACGGCGGGACAAGGTTCCACTGGAGGTATGGATTAATTTCGTCCATTGGGGGGCTTGAGTAACTGCTTTTAGTGCAAGTTCGACCTCCCTTTAGGCAATCTTGGTTTTCACGCACCCTACTGTATCCCATCCCTTGTACTATGTGTGGTAACGCTTGAATCACACCATCTCAAATCGGACGAGCTATCGTCTGAGAAACCTGTACAAACACGTCGTCCGGGTGGCGGTGTCGGTATTGAGAAGGGCCGTGGCCTAGGTGAGGGATGCTGGTGAGCTGACGATACGCTATGGCCAGCTGTCCACATCGTTTACGAGAGAGGTTCTGGTGCCCTGTCGCGTTCTTCGCGTCGCCGTCGTAGCTCAGCTGGGAGAGCGACAGACTGAAGTATTCACGAGATCTGCAGGTCATCAGTTCAAATCTGGTCGACGGCATATTTTTTTGAGATCGAGCCGGAGCGTTTGATGGAGCGAGGGGCGGTTGGCTTAACCGGCGCGTCTCAGGTTGGTCGCGTAGAACTCGAGCGTCACGTGTTAAAACATTCTCACGCTTTGGACAAGAGCGTCGCTTTTGACTAAGATTGTTCGTTTTGCCTGCGTCACTCCCAGAATCAGCGAGCGAATATGAACGACAAGTGCTCATATATGCTCTGGTACCTGAACAGGACCACCGGAACAATCCCTATGCGACTAATACTATGCCGCCTGCCATAGTACTCCGACCTCATACTGCATCCCTCGGCAGGCATGTGGCATGCCACTGTTCAGGGAGGAATCCGGTTTCTCACAAAACATTGGGATGTGATACAGTTCAGCTGGACCCGTCAGCTCGGCAAACCCGATTCTTCGTTCGTCATGCGCAAACATTAACTTTCATTGTGAAAAGAATCGCAGTGGGACTCCCTACCGCTCTCCTACAACGATGGCTGCATTACTACGGCGCTGCTCAGTCCTCCAGGGCATGAGTAGAGGTTGACCGTTGCGGCGGGATTCCACTTCAGTCTCTACTGCCGCCGTCACGTTCCATCTTTCAATTCGGTGCGTCCAGGAAGATGATACAACGCAAGGAGTGTCATTGATAGTCAAAGTATAGATTTGTACATAAGTAAACTGATATTCTTTCTGTCTTTCCTCAATCATTTCCCAAGCGTCTGCATGAACATCGGATTGTACCTGTCACCGATCACGTTAATTTCCTTGATCACCCTCCTGACCGCCTCGTCATCCTCTTTGGTGAAGCTTGAAAGAACATTCGCCGCCGTCAGGTTCTCTTTCATGCGGTCGAGAGAGCGGGTGCCCGGGATGACGAAGAAGTCCTCCCCTTGATATAGGACCCAAGCGAGACAGAAAGCAGCAGATGTGACGGGGATACCAAGCGTCTTCGACTTTGTTTCAGCAAGCTCGCCGATGCGGTCAACGAGTCTCATATTGAGGTTGAATGCTTCTCCTTGGAAACGAGGATCCGCTAGTTCGCCATGTCGTCAGTATCCGAAGGCACGGGTTTTGGAAGCGTATGACTTACTTCGTCTGAAGTCGTCCTCACTCAAGTCGTCAGGGGACTTGATCTGCCCGGTGAGCATGCCTCTTCCGAGCGCTGCATATGCAACCTGGTGACGATCAATGAATGTCGAATTAGATCGCCGTTTCTGTTGGAACTGAATCATGACATACCAAACTTACTCCGTTCTCCCTTATCACCTTAAGAAGACCGGATGTCTCGGGGCCGATTTCCCAAGGAGAGTACTCGATTTCGACGGCTTCAACACGTACGATCTTGAGGGCGCGTTCCAAGGTTTCGGCGCTACACTCGGACATGCCGATGTATTTGATCTTTCCAGCGTCCTGGAGTTCCTTCAACGCGCTCATCGTCTCCTCAATCGGCCTGGGGAGAGGACAAAGTAAGATCCGTCAGTCAATGAGCCACAG